CTTCCTGCTCCCTTTTGAACATTTAGTTTTGTTTACAAAATCTTTTGTTGGATGTTTTATGCTGTTATTAATGGTCTTTATTTTTGTAAGTGCCGTATAAATTCTATTCAGTTTATTTCTATAGCTCCAATTCACATCATGTCATCTCAGGTCACTTTCCAGTTCACCAGATCATCCAGTCAGATTGATTCAAAGTTTTCTATCTAAGGAAAACCAGTTGATTGCATCGACTCATTGACTCTTCAGCAATCCCTCACACTAAGCATGCTTGTAGCGACAGTGGAGAGGAAAAACTCCCTTTGAACAGGAAGAAACCTCCAGCAGAACCAGGCTCAGTGTGAGCGGCCATCTGCTGAGGCCCACTGGGGTTCAAAGAAATAGTATATGTGAACATATCATAAAGAATCCGTCTATGGTTCCTTCTCTGTTTTTTTCATTTCAAAACAAAAACGAAAAAATAAAACAAGCATGTGGTTTTTTGTTTTTAAAACGAAATTAGAAAAACGACATTTGCAAAAATAAAAAAAAAAAGGGTACGTCTTGGGATTTTTTTAACTGCAATGGTTAAAGCAAAGACAGAAAATGATTCAAGCCATTGCCTTTTGTTTAGAAATGTTTTGTTTTGATGCCGTCTTCATCCACTGTAAATGATTTTTCTTTGGCGACTTACTTCATTTCCGGTCCCGCTACATATTAAAACAACAACCGTATTTTATTTTCATGTTGATGGTGAAACAAAACTCGAACGCTGTTGAGTTTAATTCGATTTTTCATTTTTTCAATTTAGGAAGAAAAACCACATGCTTGTTTTGTTTTTTCGTTTTTGTTTTGAAACAAAGAAACCAAAGAACGAACCATACACGGATTATAAATTTGTAACCATGAATAGTTTTTCTTCTACTTCACACCTCTGGGCTCCTTTTTCTTTGTTTTTGTGCAGAATACCATAAAATCTTCCACTGAAATGTGTAGCTGCAGCGAAAGCTAAAAAAGGTTTAATACGACGTAAATCAGACGTTTCTTCTTATTTCTAACCCTTCGACAGGCGTTATACCTGATCGCCACAAATGGCACTCCAGAGCTCCAGAATCCAGAGAAACTGTCTCCAGTTTTCAGAGACTTCCTGAACCGCTGCCTGGAAATGGATGTAGAGAAAAGAGGCGGAGGCAAAGAGCTCCTACAGGTAATAACCCCCCCCCCCATGTTGATCATGCTGGATTTGTTCCTCTAACGCCTGAACTTTTCATTCTGTGTCCCGCTGCTCAGCATCCGTTCCTGAAGCTGGCAAAGCCCCTCTCCAGTCTCACCCCTCTGATCCTGGCAGCCAAGGAGGCCATGAAGGGCAGTCGTTAACGGATGACCCCGCCCCCCCACCCCGCCTTACCATGCTGTGCACAGATATGTGCCAACCGTTTAGATTTCGTGCCAGACAATAGGCTAAGAGTGACTTGCCAGCGTTGATGCACCAGCCTTGTAAGCCCTGACGAACCTCACTGTGAAGACCAAAAAGCCCAGAGCACAACCCCCCCCCCCACGCTGTCAACACCAACTCTTCTTTTCTCTTTGACGTCAGAAGACGAGTCAAACTAAAGTGCTTAGTTCCAGCGTCAGGCGTAGTTCATTTTGTACATCAAAACTGGTGACAGGTTAGGACTAGGCTTGTATTTAACTTGGAATGAAGAAGATGCCTAGTTCCGTTTAGTCATTTTTGGGTTTTTTTAATCAGCTGCCTTAAACAAATGCAAAACGTTGCCTAATGTATTGTTGATTGTGTCTGTGTCGTCTCCCTTCATTTTTACTACCTTTGTAATTTACATTTTCACTTTTGTCAGTATCGTAGTTATTTTGATACTTGAATTTCCTGTCCACCCCCCTCCCCCATTTGGTCCATACGGTTTCATTCAGCGGACGCTCTATTTTCTATAGTTGACCCTTGTTGGAACATTTCTCGTTACGGTTTTATAGGAAACGTTTCAGTGCATTTTTCATCATGATCCCGGGCTGAGATCGGGATGTTTCGCTGTTTCCCCTGACGGATCTACTGTACCTGTTCTTCCCTCATATCTGTAGTGTCCTGATGCCAGAGGCGCACCTTACAGGCAATTAAAGCGTTAGATCGACAGGGTTTATACTGTATTCTCTGTTGCTATTAAAGTGAATATTGTATGTCAAACTCTGTCCTTTGTGTTCTTTTAAAGTGCACTTTTTTTTCCTACAAAGATTGTTTATTTATTGTTTAGCTAGAAAACTAGTGACCATAACACACTAATCAGGAGCATAAGGCAGCAGAGCAGTTCTCTAACCGTTTTGTTTTAGTCTACACAACTAACAACTTTGTCAAAACACAAATAAACCCTTTGCTTTAATATGAATATGTTGTGAGCTTATTTCTGCCTAATATTTGAAGTGAATTAATTTGTTTACATCAAGCTGACCAGACGTTAGAATCAGCTCTAATAGTAGCTGTTTTTATTATAGAATCCATCCAGTTCAATTATGTAGTAAAAAATATGACATATCTGGCAGAACAATAAAATATTCAATAAATTAAAGCATTAGAAACATTTTCAGATCTTATTTCTGTACCCTATAAATTTAAAATCATGAGGCTGGTCTTTCGTTTGCTTGATTTCTTTGTAAATTTGGATTTGATTTAGTGGAGCAGCTCCACCTTTGCACCTTTTTGGCAATTAATAAACTCTAAGGAGGAAATAAAATCCATTTAAAATGTTAAATCTGTTCCCAATGTTTCCCACTAAGTCTTACTCCTTCATTTTAACGTGGTTTAATCCAGTTTTTCCCAAACTTTGACCACCATAAATAATAAAGAATGGTGACACACAACATGCTTTGTCTGATTTATTGTGTCAAGTAATCATAATTATTTTTAAATATGTAGAATTTTCTTGAATGGTATTTAACTCATTTGTTTAAACCTTTTTAAATTCCCGTTTTACATTTAATCACGCAATTGTGCATTTCACATCAAGGTATATTTTATTCTATATTTTGGTTAGATAAATGTTACTTCTAAATATTATGTGGTACATTTATTTTATTTACCATTTTTATATTTCTTTATGCAATATCTATTTTGATCTTATATATATATATATATATATATATATATATATAAATAAATGTGTGTGTGTAATTTGGTCGTCATATCTGGGATCACAATCCCC